TTTTTTATACAGATCAGCTTTCACGTCCTGTAAATCCTTCCTGAATTCACCATAGAGATTAAAAGCCCAGTAATTTTTTCTCAGGTGTCATAGTTTATGAAATGAAATAAGCAATGCACTGAATGTAAATTATTAAAAAGAGTTCAGGAACAATGGCTCACACCAGATGAAGAGAGAAAATTGGCTGGTGAAACATGTAATAAATGTTCAATGCTCCAAATCATGAATGCACAAGACACCAGCATTTCCAATAATAATACATTAAAGTATCATTTCTGTTTTTTGTTTCTGCAATATCCCTGGCATTCTGAATTAACATTTTACGTACAATATTTATACATTACGGTGCCTGGAACTTGAATATTTGCAGATACATCAGATGGACATACTGTTGCCATTTGTTACTGCTATTTCTTTTAACATTTGTAAGAAGGTGGGTGAGTAAATCATGGTAATAAAAAAGCAAGCATGTTTAAGTTCAAGGCTTTGCTTATAATTTTGGTTGTTTGCTATAAGATATTGGTGTATGAAAGGTAATCAAATAGTTAACCAACTAAATTTTATGTTTGTACACAACTAGTATTTCCAGTAAGCACTTCCACAAACTGGTTTTACAGTATTAGTTCAAAAGGATATAATAAAACAGCAACGAAATGTACTTATTTATCACTGCACTTGATAAACACCTGAAGTACACCAATGTCGTGAACTTTCAGTTATAAGTGATTATCTGTATCCACATTTTAAAAATCTGATAGACTTAGTGTGTCATCTCATGATAAGACTCTTATGGCACTTAGTTTTCCCTAATTCTCTCCTATGCTTCATTTTTAAAAATCAGTTCTGTCTAACCCTGCAAAGATGCAAACTGGTGATAGGATGGATTTTTTATCCTTTTAAGTGGATTTTAAAAGAAGGACAATCTCTGCTAAGTTTTCTGGGTATGTGTTTTACATCAATCATCCCTCATGCCCTTTAAGTCCTGAAAGTAAAGTCCAATTAGCCAAAAAGAATGCTATTATTTGAAGTCTTTTGTACCTAGGTAAATTGTTTTCCGCAGTCAAACCCCGGAGGGCTTTGCAAAATTTCAGTCAGTCAGGTGAGCCAAGAGTAACTGCTACTCTCTAAATTTCCAATAATCTTTCTGGCCCTGTAGGAGTACAGTACTTAGTTTGAGTTATGCCTATACACCTTAAGGAAATTGAATTGTGTAATTTCTTTATTTCATTAGTGTAGGT